TATCAATCTTTATGTGTTCCATTTCATTTTTGACAACTTCCAATTTTCCTAGATTCATACTTCCTACATTCCATGTTCTGCTATTAATGGATGTCTGCAGCTGTTTCTCCTCAATTTGAGTCGTATCATGTCAGCAAATGGAGGTCTTGAAAGGTTTACTTTATCCACATCAGTAAGGTTGGTTCTACTCTGATGCTGCTGCTCTTTCCCAGTCATATTTTGATAGCCTTCCAACCAAAGTGGCTTGACTTCCTACACTGTATCAGACAGTGTTTCTGGGCAATTCGTATAGTTTCCTAGTATTGTGACAGTGTTTATCTGCTATTCATAAGGTTTTCCTTGGCCAATTCTTTGAGAAGTGGATGGCCTCTTCCTTCTTGCTAGTCTGTCTCAGTCTGCAAGCCACACTGACACCTGTGCACCATGTGCAACCCCGCTGCCATCTGTAACACCGGTAGCATAGCCTCAAGCCTCACAGCAACATGCCACAACACTGAGGTATCATACTATGAGGAAACCTAGGTGAGTCACGTGCAGAGACAATGTGGACAGTGATGGTTGGTTAGTCCCCAGCTTTCTCAGCCATCTCAGCCGAGGCACTAGTCATGTAAGCAAAGAAGCCATTTTGGATGTTTTAGCGCTAGCAGACACCTTGTGGAGCAGAACTGCCAGGTAAACCTGGCTCAGACTGCAGAATCATGAGAAATAAGCTCTGGTGGTGTAGTGCCTAAGGCATTTGACTGTTAACCAGAAGGCTGATGGTTCAAACTCACCAGCCACTCCTTGAAAGGAAGACTGAGCAATCTACTTTGGTAGAGATATCACCTCGGAAACACAAGGAGAGGTCACTGTTAGTCAAATCGACTTGATGGCATTGAGTTTGGTTTTGGTGTGTTTTAGTTTAAGCTACTACAGTTTGGGGTGGCTTGTTATGCAATAGGTAAACAAAACACAGTGACAGAAGTGTGACAAACCAATTAGTTATTTTTAGTAAGTAAAAATGTTACTTCTTGATGTTGTATGCCATCGAGTTGATTCCCCCTCATAGCAATTCTAGAGGAGAGAGTAAAATTGTTCCATAGGGTTTCCAAGGCTGTAATCTTTACAAGAGCAGATCACCAGCTCTTTTCTCTTGCAGTGCAGCTGGAGCTGTGATGGGTTTAAACTGCTGACAATTATTGGTTAGTAGCCACATACTTAAATCACTGCACCACCAGGGCTCCTAAAATGTTATGGCAATCTAATTTTTATACTCATGACCTGCTACATATGCTTCATTTTGACATTATATAATTTTAAATATTTAACCTTTAAATTACCTTAATCTTAGAGTCTTCTTCACGCTTTTTGGTTTTAGGTTGCACTGCAGGTGAAACAGTGGCTTGTATTTGAGGAGACTGGAATTTTGGCCTACTTTTAGGTTGTTGCTCTTCAAATTCCTGACTGAATCCTTCAGGAAGTGCATCTTAAAATAAAAGAAAATGTGTTAAAAATATATATGATACATAAAATATAAATATTTGTTAAGTATGTATATGTGTGTGTGTGTATATATATAAAACCAGGAAAAACGAGAGCAGATAATTAACAGAAGAAATAGAAATGGCAAATGCAAATTTCATACAGTCAATCTCACCAGTAATCAGTGATGTATAAATTATCTCATAATTAAAATATTAAAAATTGACATATTGGTATACTACTTTTTCTACCTTGTTGACAAATATTAAAGGAAAAGGTATTACATATTCTAAGGGAGAGAGAGGACGGAGAATTTAATTTACTGTTAATAACAAGGTAAACTTGTAAAATTGTTAGAAAGCAATTTGAGAATGTGTATCAAGAACTTTACAAATGCTTATATCATTTCATCCACTACTTCCATTTCTAAGAACCTATCTCAATGAAACAATTCCAAATATGAAGAAACTTTTACATATCAAAATGCTCACTACAACATGACTTTTGAATTAGAAACTAACTAGATGTTCAATAATAGAAAAATGAATAATTATTGTAGACCCATAATAGAAATAGTACACTGACAATTTATAATGGTATATATAAATTTTTTTCCATGACATGCAAAAATGGTTATAGTTTACTAACAAAAGCAAAATATAAAATAGTATGTATTAAAAAAACATAGAACAACTGGCTAGAAATAATAAGGTGATAGTAGTTATCTGTGATTGGTAGGACTACCAATAATTTTTATTTTCTTATGTCTTTCTTGATCTTAATTACTCATCGTAAGCATGCACTGATTCTATAGTCAGAAAAAAACAAAAAACAGAATTTGTTAATTCTAAAACCACCACCAAGAACAAAACAAAACAATAAACAACCACAAAAACATCTAAAACACCAAGCTATCCTTGGCATATTCATATAGGTATAAACCCCCTTATTCTGAAACTGCTTTATACACTCTTTAAGTTTCAATAGATGCTTTTATTTTCTATTTCCCAAACTTTCTTTAGCAGTGCCTTCTCATCTGTACTTTTGCTGTATTCTACTGTTGGTATTCTACTTTTCTTCTATGCCTAAACTTCATAGCTAAATAGGAGACAGTTGCATATAAATTCTCTCAGTTCTCTTTTAGACACAGCAAGTTGGTCAACTTTCACTCAATTCAACACAATAAACATTTGTTTGCCTACTATGTGATGAGTGTGGTATAAGTAAATTTTCTCTATAAAGCAAATTTCTAATCCTAGCTCATTAATCTCTGAATGTTTTGATAAATTCCAGCTATATAAAGCAACAGAACACTCTGATTTTTGTAACAACATAAGAATAATTTAAAATAGTTAGAACTTTAAACATATTATCTGACATTTAGTTTATGTCCAGCTTTTTACTATTATAAATACCCTTACAAATAAATCTTTTCATGCCTTTATTTCATTAAGAGAAAATAAAAAAACTATACTTTATTAAAATATAATTTATGTACAGTGAAATACACAAAACTAAAGTGATATGGGTCAATGCATTTTTTATTTTTTGCAGTGTTTCCTCCCCATCCCTCTCACCCCTGGTAACCAATGAAGTTTCCTTCCATATACAAATGCTTCCTTGACTTTTTACAATAATGAACTAATACTATATTTCTTCTTCTGTGATTGACTTATTTCACTCAGTATAATGTCCTCCAGTTCATCCATGTTATGCAATGTTTTGCAGGTTCTACATTATTCTTTAGTGTTGCATAGTATTCCATTTTGTGTATGTACCATAGTTTGGTCATCCATTCTGCTGATGGACACATAGGTTGTTTCCATCTTTTTGCTATTGTACATAGTAATGTGATGAACTTTGGTGTGCATACATCTGTTCTTGTCCTGGCTCTCACTTCTTTAGGATGTACAGCTAGTAATGAGATTGCTGGGTCAGATGGTATTTCTGATTCCAGCTTTTTAAGGAATCACCATACTGCTTTCCACAGTGGTTGTATCACTTCACAGTCCCACCAGCAGTGTATGAGAGTCCCTGTCTCTCCACATCCTTGCCAGTATTTGTTATTTTCTGTCTTGCTGAAAATTGCTACTAGTGCTGGGGCAAGATGGTATTCTCATTGTTGTTTTGATTTGCATCTCTCTATTGTCTTCTGCCCATTTTAAAAATGGATTATTGATCTTTTTGTTGTTGAGGTGCTGGAGTTTTCTATAAATTTTAGAGGTAAGTCAGTTGTCAGATGTGTCACTGCTGAATATTTTTCCCAATCTGTAGGTTCTCTTTTTACTCTTCTGGAGAAGTCTTTTGAAGCACATACAAATTTAATTTTTAGAAGGTCCCATTCATTTAGTTTATCTTCAGCTGTTTTTACATTTTGGCTTATGCTCGACAGTCTATTTATGCCATAAATTAGGGCCCCTAAATTTGGCCCTAGTTTTTCCTTGAGGAATTTATAGTTATAGGTTTCACATTTAAGTCTTTGATCCAGCTGGAGTTAGTTTTTGTGTATGGTGTAAGGTACGGAGCTTGTTTCATTTTTCTGTAAATGGATAATCCAGTTTTGCCAGAAACATTTGTTAAAGGGACCATCTCTTCCCCATATAATGGATTTCAGCCCTTTGTCAAAGATCAGCTGACCATAGGTTTATGAATCTACTTCTGGTGTTCTCACTTCTGTTCCACTGGTCTATGTGTCTGTCATTGTACCAGTACCAGGATGTTTTGACTACTGTCGCTGTATAGTAGGTTTTGAGATCCGGGAGTGAGACCTCCTACTTTATTGTTCTTCAATAGTGCTCTGCTTATTCGAGATGTCTTTCCATTCAATATAAAATTAGTGATTGTTTTTTCCACGTCCTTAAAGAATGCTGATGGGATCTGGATTGGGATTGCATTGAATGTATAGATTGTTTTGGGTAGTATTGACATTTTCACAATGTTCAATCTTCCTATCCACAAGCATGGCATGTTCTTCCATTTATATAGATCTCTTATGGCTCATTAAGAGAAATTTTTTTAAGTGCATTTTATTGAAATATAATTTATGTACAGTGAAATCACAAAAGTGAAGTGACATAGTTCAATGCTTTTTTTTTTTTTGCATTGTTCCTTCCCTTCCCCTTCCACCCCTGGCAAGCAACAAAGAAAGTTTCCTTCCATATATAAACCTTTCCTTGACCATCCACAACAACAAACTAATAGTATATTTGTCCTTCTGTGCCTGACTTATTTCACTCAGCACAATGTCCTACATGTCCAAGCATGCCATGCGGCGCTTTGCAGACTCCCCATCACTCCTCAGTGCTGCATAGCAGTCCATTGTGTGTATGCACCACAGCTTGGTCATCTACTCCACTGCTGATGGGCATGTAGGTTGCCTTCATCCTCTTGCCACTGCAAATAGTGCTGTGATGAACATGGTTGTGCATATACGTGTTCATGTTCTGGCTCTCAACTGTCTAGGATGTATACCTAGTAATGGGATTGCTCGGTCAAATGGCATCTCCAATTCCAGCTTTCTAAGGAATCGCCATATTGCTTTCCACAGTGGTTGTATAACTTCACAGTCTCACTAGCAGTGTATGAGGGTCCCAATGTTTCCACATCTCTGCCAACATTTGTTATTTTCTGTCTTGTTGAACCTTGCCATCAGTGCTGGAGTGAGATGGTATCTCATTGTTGTTTTGATTTGTATCACTCTGATGGCCAATGATCGTGAGCATCTCTTCATGTATTTGCTGGCTGCCTGAATATCTTCCTTGTTGAAGTGTCTATTCATATCTTCTGTCCATTTTTCAACTGGATTGTTAATTCCTTTGCTGTTGAGGCATTGGAGTTTTCTATAAATCTTAGAGATAAGTCCCTTGCCAGATATATAATTATTGGCAA